GGCCTGTTGGGGTCCCTGAGGGGCGCTTGATGGGGGCCCTATAATGGGCGCTGTGTCTGTGGGCCCTATATCTATAAAAGGGCTCTATAACATAGATTTATATCTATAATCTATAGATTCTATATATAGATATCTATATAGATATATCTATATAGATATCTAGATATCTATATATAGATATATATAGATATAGATATAATATATATAGATAGTTATCTATAGATATCTCTATATATAGAGATATCTATAGATATATATAATATAATATAATATAGATATATTATATCTATAGATATCTCTATCTATTATATCTATAGATATCTATATATAGATATCTATAGATATATACCTATATCTTTGTATCTATATATAGAATCTATAGATATAGAGTCTATATACTCTATATTCTATATAGAGTCTATATACTCTATATTCTGTAGATATCTTTAGAATCTATGGGTATAGAATCTATATTATAGATGCATCTATAGATGTATCTATAGATCTATATATAGATCTATATGTAAATCTAAATATATATAGATATAAACTATATCTATATTATAGATATATTTAGATAGATATAGATAGATATAGATCTTTAGATATATATCTTTATATATCTTTAGATAGATATCTAAAGATATATGTATTTATAATATAGATGTAGGGCCCATATATCTATAATGGTCCATGTATATATATACACACACATATATATACACACATATATATGTGTATATGTATATGTATATATGTATATATATGTGTGTGTGTATATATGCAGGTATATATATTATATATATAAAATCATCTATCTGTAGGGCCCATTATAGATATAAGGCCCTATATCAATATATATCTATATAGATATTTATATCTCTATCTATAAAAGGGCTCTATAATGGTTTCTGTATGGTATGGATGGGGGTGGTGTGTCCCCAAGTGGATGCCAGCTATATGGGCCTCAATGGGGTGGGTATAGGTGCCCCCCACTATCATGCAGGGTCTATAGGGGGTATGTGCTCCCAGGCATGTGGGGTGTGTAGGGTCATAGAAAGGTGTCTATATGGTGCTGCCATGCCTATAGAGGGGTATATGCAAGTTCCCACAAATTAGGCAAGATGTATAGGGTTGTATATGGTCCTTTGCAACACCATGCAGGCTCTGGGGTGTCTATATGGTCTCCCCTTGGCCCCGGGACATATGGCAGGGTAGAGGGGATCCTATGGAGAATTTTGTGGGGGCATTACAGGGGCTGTATATGGGTGCATAGGGGGATCCATGGGGGAGCATTAGGGGTGGGGGGGGGAACTATGGGAGTATAATGAGTCTATAGGGGTACTGTGGGGCTGTAGGGGTAAACAGTGTATAGTAACAGGTGATCTATAGGGCATATATAGGCATGCACATAGGGATGCATTGGGATGTAATAGGGGTGCTCTAGGGTTAATACAGGATGTATAGCAGTGTACACAGGATGTATAGACACCCTATAGGGGTGCTCTGGGGTTTATAAAGGGGGCATAGGGGGTGCGTGGGGGTGCAAAGAGGGTATATAAGAGATGTAAAGGAGGTTCTCTGGGACCTATAGGCTGTATAGGGGTGCACTGAGATCTATAGAGGATGTATAGGGTGACATTGGTGTGCTCTGGGGCTATGAAGGAAGTATAGGGGGTTTTGGGGTTGCACTGGGGGTCTATAGGAGATGTATAGGGAGTCTGTGGGGTCCATAGGGGTTGCATAGGGGGACTTTAAGGATGTTTGGATGCAGTAGGGATCTATAGGGCATGCAGGAGGCTGGGGGTGCTTGGGGGTCTATAGGTGCTGCATCTATGGGAATGCACTTGTGTCTATAGGGGGGATGTCTATAGGGTCTATAGGGAGTGTTTGGGGGTATAGAGGTGTCTGTAGATGTATGGGGGTACCTAGGGTGCGCTGGGGCCTATGTGGGACGTATAGAGGCTATTTGGGATCACTGAGGTCTATGTAGGGATGTATGGGGGGGGGGGGGGATGCACTGGAGCCTATAGGGGATGTGAAAGGTGTTCATGGGGGTCCATAGGGAAGGCATGCAGGGTGTCTGGGGTGCGCTGGGATCTATAGGGGATGTATAGGGGGTCTGTGGAGATACATAGGAGGTCTGCGCGATGCATTGCAGTCTGTAAGGGAAGCATAGGGAGCCCATGGGGGTGCAGAGGGGTCTATAGGGGATGTATAGGGTGGAATGGAGATGCATAGGAGGTTGATAGGGGATGTATAGGGAGCGTATGGAGGCGCAGAGGGGTCTATAGGAGATGTTTAGGGTATAATATGGATCCACAGAGGGTCTATAGCAGATGAAGAGCTATAGAAGAAGCAGATGAAGAGCTATATGGAGCTCCATAGGGGATGTATAGGGGATGTATAGGAGGTTATGGAGATCCATGTGGGGATGTATAGGAGGTTGTGAGGATGTATAGGGGATGTATAGGAGGTTGTGGGGATGCATAGGGAGTACACAGAGGATACATATGGATTCATAGGGAATGTACACAGGTTCTATAGAGGATGCATAGGGAGTCCATAGGGGGTATATATGGAGCTACAGGGGACATATATGGAGCTATAGGGGGTATATAGGGAGCTATAGGGGTATATATGGAGCTACAGGGGATACATATGGAACTAAAGGGGATATATATGGTGCTATAGGGGATACATGTGGAACTATAGGGAATACATATGGAGCTACAGGGGATATATATGGAGCTATAGTGGGTATATATGGAGCTATAGGGGTATACATGGAGCTATAGGGGATATATATGGTGCTATAGGGATACATATAGAGCTATAGGAGGTACATATGGAGTTATAGGGGATAATATGGAGCTATAGGGGACATATGGAATTATAGGGGCTACATATGGAGCTATAGGGGATAATATGGATCTATAGGAGACACATATGGAGCTATAGGAGATATATATTGTGCTATAGGGGACACATATGGATTTACAGGGACACATATGGGTGTACAGGGGACACATATGGAGCTATAGGGGGTACATATGGAATTACAGGGGTACATATGGTCCTATAGGGGACACATATGGATCTACAGGGGACACATATGGGGCTATAGGGGCCACACATGGAATTACAGGGGTACATATGGGGCTACAGGGGACACATATGGATGTACAGGAGGCACATATGGAGCCATAGGGGACACATATGGAGCTATAGGGGGTACATATGGTATTACAGGGGTACATATGGGGCTATAGGGGACACATATGGGGCTATAGGAGATTTATATGGAGCCATAGGGGACACATATGAATCTACAGGGACACATATGGATGTACAGGGGCCACATATGGAGCTATAGGTGGTACATATGGATCTACAGGGACACATATGGATGTACAGGGGTCACATATGGGGCTATAGGGGACACATATGGAGCTATAGGGGGTACATATGGGGCTATAGGAGATTTATATGGAGCCATAGGGGACACATATGGATCTACAGGGACACCTATGGATGTACAGGGGACACATATGCAGCTATAGGCGGTACATATGGATCTACAGGGGCCACATATGGAGCCATAGGGGCCACATATGGAGCTATAGGCGGTACATATGGGGCTACAGGGGACACATATGGATGTACAGGGGCCACATATGGGGCTATAGGCGGTACATATGGGGCTATAGGGGCCACATACGGATGTACAGGGGTACATATGGGGCTATAGGGGACACATATGGGGCTATAGGCAGTACATATGGGGCTATAGGGGCCACATATGGAGCTATAGGCGGTACATATGGGGCTATAGGCAGTACATATGGGGCTATAGGGGCCACATATGGAGCTATAGGCGGTACATATGGAGCTATAGGTGGTACATATGGGGCTATAGGGGCCACATATGGA